TTTAACATTTTATCAATAAAAATTTGAAACTTGTACTTGACAAAAATTCAGATTCTTTACATCCTAGAAAAGACTTACTCTTTAGAATTTCTAGCAGGTCAGTTTGAGTTGGGAAATATTTTTACATATGCAAGAGCTCAAATTAATATTGAATCACCTCAAAGGAGAATTGTACATGCAGCTCTCTCTGGTTAGTTTTGAAATCACATCTTATTCTGCCTTTAAGACTGTTATAACACTGAAAACTCTGAGTGAAACTGTCTTCATTTCTTATCCAGGAGAACCAAATATTAGCAAGAAGGAAAATATGTTACCTTTTATATACTTTGATGTAGATTCATTTGACACCATATATAATGAGCATTTTCCTAACAAACCTCTCACAGTCTCCTGGTTACTTCCTGGTAGTCTCTAAAGACAAATCTTTCTTGATAAACTTAATTTTAGCCCATGTCTTAAGACAATTAGAGTTGTAATAATTGCTGCTATTAAAAATGAGATTTATCAGGTCCCAGTGAATACACTGGAATAGGTCACAAAGAACATAGTCATACTTTTCTCCAAATTACATTTATATATTTTCCTAACTCGACAGTGCATAGAGTTAAAGGCAATATTAGAGTTGTACAAAGAAGTTACTCATGGAAGGTTGCAAATAATCTCTAGAAAGTTAATTCCAAATAAGTCTGTATCTCATGGATGTCAGAGAATCCCACAAAGATGAATCTGGTTACTGAAGTAACACTGACATACTACATAGTGTAGGAGACATGATCTGGGTAAATATTATGAATGTCCCAAGTACTAGCATTAGTTTATAGAAATACTCATGTAGAGCCCAATACAAATCAATAAAAAAGCACATATCCAAAAGAAGAAAATGTGTCAATTCAATCATCTACCTAATATAAAAATATGATACAGTTTTGCATAAACTGTTATTTCTCTCCACCCCTTTCATAACATTCTACTCTCAATCTTCCTTCTTAATATTTTGTGATTAATTTTTTGTCCCTCTCCTCCCTCACTCACTACCTTCTGAATTTCTTCCCTTCATGTTCTTCATCTTCCTTCTCCCCTCCCCTTTTCAAACTTGGTCTTACTTTCTATCTCTGTATTATGGCCTCAGAAGTTTATTAAGGCTCTGGACAAACTATGTAAGTTTTCTACAATTGAGATTATAAAATATTATCTCACCATTATTTTAAAATTAAGTCTGATTAGAATAAAAATCATGTAATATAAATAATTATTATTTTACCTTTAAGGTATTTTGAAAATAAGTTTAGGGAGAAATTTTCAGTTTTAGTTTTGACTTATTTCCATTTATGTATTAATGAGTTATAATTTTATAAATATTGAATATACTTACGCTAATTTCAGAAAGACTAGAAAGAATTTGGAGAGAATGTGGAGTAAGGGGACCATTCTTCCATTGCTGGTGTGAGTGAAAACTCGTACAGCCACTTTGGAAATCAGTATGGCAGTTTTTCAAATAATTGGGAATAATCTATCTCAAGATCTAGCAATTCCACTCTTGGGCATATTCCCAAAAGATGCAGACTGATAAAACAAGGACATTTGCCCAACCATGTTCATAGCAGCATTATTGATAATATCCAGAACCTTGAAACAACCTAAGTGCCTCTCAATGGAATATTGGATAAAGAAAATGTGGCACATTTACACAATGGATTACTGCACAGTGGTTAAAAACAATGACATCTTAAAATCTGCAGGCAAATGGATGGAACTAGAAAAAAATGTCTTTAGTGAGTTAATTCAGACCCTGAAAGAAAAACGTATGAACTGGCTCATAATTGGATTTTAGACATAAAACAGAGGATAACTAACTGATCTATATTCTGCATCCCCACAGAACACTGGAAACAAGGAGAACCCTAAGATAGACATACATGGATACACCCAGGAAGGGGAAGTAGACAAGATCTCCTTAATTGGCAGTGTGGGGCATGGTGGTAAGGAATTGGGGGAGGAGAACATAAGGGATCAGGAAGATTTAGTTGGGTAAAGGACAGAGAGGTAGAGCAAGAAAAAAGTTACCATGAAAATAGTAGCTACTGAGGGTTAGTGAGAAATCAGGCACCAGGGAAACCCCAGCTAAGAAGCTAAGCAGTAGTGGAAAGCATACCTAATCTACTCTTCCCCTGTAATCAGATTTTTTTTAAACTACATTAATTGTCATCATAGAACCTTCATTCAGTAACTGTTGGAAGCAGATGGAAAGATCCACAGCTAAGCACAGGACCGAACTCCTTGAATCCAGTCATGAAGAGAGAGGAGCAATATTATAAGCAAAAGTGCCATTATGGGAAGTGCCTCAGAAACAGCTGACTGGAGCTAGTCGGAGCTCACTGACCCTGACTGATAGCTGGGGAACCAGCATAAAGCCGAACTAGATCCTCTAAATGTGGGTGACAGTTGTGTGGCGGGCATAGACAGTTTATAGGATCGCTAGCAGTGGAACCAGTATTCATCCCTAGAGTATAGTTTGACTCTTTGGAACCCATTCGCTATGGAGGGATAAGTTGTTCAGCCTAGATACAAGGGAGGAGAGTACCTTGGTTCCGCCTCAAGGGGCAGACTTTGTTGACTCCCCATGGGTGTGGAGAAGGTGGGAGGAGTGGAAGAAAGGAAGGAGAGGGAATGGGTATTGCTATGTAAAATAAGATTATTTTAAAAATAAATATAAAGAAGTTTTATCTTCTGCAAGTGGTTAGAACTTCTAGCAAGACAGTTCATATCTCTTGAAGGAAAGCCTTTTACTAAAATGCTTCTAATGGACAAAGAATTAAAATGCCCTAAAATGCTTTATGGTAATTTGTTTAGATAAAAACATATGCCAACCATAATGAAAAATAGTATTTCTTTGGAATAGATGGGTATTAACACAGATGCTTAATACTGGCAGAGGAAGAAAATAAAAGTCTACAGAATTTTTAACCCTAAGGGGAAGATATACACTTCACTCACAAGTCTCAAATCTCAGGGATCATTGCTTAGAGGGTATGGAAAATATATATAAAAAAACAAGATTTATTTGATGACAAAGTGGAAATATTTTCTCAACACAGAAAGGAGGCTATGTATACAAACTTATACAGGTTGTGGCAGCATTTACACAACTTGTCAAATATTAAACAATTATAGCATTAAAAGAGGAATTGAATATAAAATTTTACCCCTTGCAGAAGTAGTACTGGAAATTCATAGATGCTGAGAAGTCAGTAGTTAGTTTTCTCTATGAGTGTAATCTTTGATAGGTTAGCCAATCACTGGTGCTAGATCACATATACAAGAAGTTTTGGGACAGCACAAATTGGTTTTGTAGTGCTTAAAAAAAATAACATAAAGTTGAGTGGATACTATGTGTCATAGATCTGGGAATACGTGGTGTATGACTATGATCAAAAAACTGAAAAATATCAAAATTATTCAAAATCTAATGAAAATGCATAGGTAAAAGTTATAGAACCTTGTAAGTTGTTTTTTCATGAAGTACTTCCAGTTAGGCATTTAAATTAATAAAGCTTGGTCTCTTTTATGTGTGCCATTCATGGTATCACATAAACATAGAAAAATAAATATTTTAGTACTCATTTCAGCTACTGTATTATGAATATTATGTTATTATCATTTATAAAAATAGTTTTGTATTTTATTAATATGAGAAAACTGGAAAGATTCCAAGATGAGAACTCAAAGTAACAAAAGGGTAAATAGGAAGTTTTTGATACATATGGCTACTTTGTACTTAGTACCCGCAAATCCCAGTGCTTTGAACTAAAAACTTTACATTTTTATGTCGTGATCATTCTCTCAACATTAAAAATGACAATTTAAAATTTAAAATTACTGCAAGAATTAAGTTTTTTATTTGTTCTAATTATGTCTTACTCTAAGATGTTTTAATTTATACAAAGAAAAAGGAAGTGAGATGAATAAGTGACCTAGTGAAAAAGAAGATGTGGGAGAACACTAGTTAAGCAATATATTTATAGAAAATATAAATTTATATAACTATCTATGATAAAATTACATTTGTATATGAAGAGGGTTGCTGAGAGATTCTAATTGCAAGAGGCCATGAGATTGTTCAGCATTTACGATTTGTACTGAAGAAGTCACCCCGCCACTTGTGTACATCCTGTTGGGAAGGCCCACTTGGAAAATCCATGGGGTTATTAATGATAAATGACTTGTTGCTCCTGTCCGTAACTTTCTCATGTGCCACTCCTATATCTCCCTAATAAGAACAACTGTAGAGTTCTATCCACAGCCCTTTGGAAGTTATTTTACACTTATTTGACATACATATAGCTATTGATGGTCATAATGATGGCTTTCCATATTTCTGTGTAATTCTGATATATAAAAATATTGTAGGATATGCTTTGCAACTAGATCTATTGTCCAATGAGGACTGTGAGACACTTAGATGCGTTCTTTGTTCATTTTTCTCAGATTAACACAAGAAAATAAGAATTTCTTCTCAGTCTAAGACAAACAGCACACAATTTTCTTGTTTTTACCTCAGAATAATGTCAAACTAGCCTAAAGGATTCTGTAAATGCACAAGTTTAAAACTTTACACTAATACAAAAGTTAAGAGTCTCAGGTGTTTGACCAGTTATTAACACAAAAAGTCTGAAAAATCATGCCAATTCTTAATTTTCCTTGTCCAGCAGATTAAAGAACTATTTCTCATAGCATCTCTCAATGGGCAATTTAACCCCACCCTCTGGTCACACTCTTACTCCAGAGAACATGAAACTCTACATTGTCTTGGGAAAGGGCTCTGCCCCTGTTGCTCTCCCAACGAAATGCGCTTTTGACTAATGAGATGAAACTCTTGTAATTTTTTATTGTTTTAAGCCCCCTGTAAAAAAAAAGTATATTTAGCATAAGTTGTCATAAGCGGTTTTGATACTGGCCATTCTCACAGGTGTATGATGGAATCTCAGAGTTGTTTTGATTTTCATTTCTCTGATGGCTAAGGATGTTGAATATTTCCTTAAGTGTCTTTCAGCCATTTTAGATTTCTCTGTATTGTGCTTATTATTATGAAATTTTCCTATTAGAACTTTATATACTTCTCAGTGAATGGAGCTTTTCGTGAACTGCACATTACTCAAGAGATTTCATACGGGCAGTGGTTTTAAAGATTACAGAGTGTATAGTATCAGGGTGAGTATATTTGTTTCCTGTTTGAATGAGAGGGTTAAGTAATTTGACTTAATGTATGTGTTGCAAGGAGAGGGCTGCTGCCCCATGTTGGGTGCCAATTGTAAGAGGAGGGGACACAGTTGATCTTCCTGGCTGCCTGGCTAGCTTAACCCTGAAATAATCACACAGAAATTGAATTAATTAAATCACTGCTTGGCCTATTAGTTCTAGTTTCTTATTGGCTAATTCTTACATATTAATTTAACCCTCTTCTTACATGTATGTGTGTGTGTGTGTGTGTGTGTGTGTGTGTGTGTACAATAGAGTAGGATATATGGGATGTGGATATTGCTTCACTTCTTATTTTGCTTGTAGTAACTTTTGTCAAAGTGATTATAAATCACTATGAAGAGGTTGTACATCATGAAAGCCTCATGAAAAATATTTTAGTTTTTCTAGTAATGAAAACTAAATAAATATAAAGGAAAGATAATGATTCTGATAAACTTTAGAATCTACAGAGAGGTTTAAGACATGACAAAGAGAAGACTTTGTGTTGGAAGACACTGGTAAATTCAACTTGAGAAATATTTAATAGACAAGAGATTCTTGTTATTTGCAATTGTAGTAGGTTCCATAATTTCTTTCAAGACATGGATGAGAGCGCTCACCTGCAAGTAGTTAGAAGTGATGTGTTTCTGCACTATAGTCAAGCTGAGAAATGTGTGTGGATGATTTTAATGTTTTCATTTGTAGAGATACACCTAATCACACTTGTCAAAGAAAGAAAGACCCAAGTAACTTGACCAAAGTTCAGTTTGGCAAACCAATGTATTTATTGAGATTACTTACTTACAAAAACATGGATTATTCAGAGGCAGCTGCAGCATTCAAGTCCTCAACTCCCAATATTGGTGACAACTCACAGTAGTTGAATGCCTACTGCTTGATAAACAAAGTTCAAATAGGTTCACTGAAAACAAGTCCCCTTCCAGGCCTCTAGGATAAGATAACCAGAGAGTCTTCTTTCCTCAGCAAATAATTAATCCTTCTATTATATGGGAAATGGAATTTGTTTTTTAAACTCACTAGGTCACATAATATTATTTAGAAGCACTATTTTGACTCAGGAGCCTCCCTTCTTTCACCCACAATGTTTTAATGCAGAAGAAACTACAGAAAATCATCCACAGAAATTTCATTCTCTTCAGTGTCTTTCTAATAATGCCCTCAACCTGAGTGGCTACTACTTTTCTTTTAGAATTTATTTCATATGAACTTCCTCCATGTTTGTCTTTGCTAAGCATTTGATCCTTCTTTAAGGATTAAGCCAATTAGACACTAGGGCAATTGGGTTAACTTCTTGCCTATTCTTTCTAGTTTCTAGAAAGTTTATCACAGAAAGCATGTGTGAATTTACCTTGACTGTTCACATGCCTCTACCATTTAAGTTATTTTCTTGTTGTAATTCTTATTTTGTTTGTAAATAAATCATGTAAGAAGTTATCAAATTATAAGTTGTTTAACCTAACAATGAAGATAATGACCAATAATTTTGTACAGTTGTTTCCAAATGAGAGCAGCTTTCGTATACAGGAGCAGAAAATACTACCATAATCTCATATGTTAGTATCATACAATCTAATTTTCTGATCTTAGATCATATTATCCTTATTCTGAGTGTTTATTTACTCTGGGAAAAATGAGTATCAACCCCTTGTCTTTCCAATGTCAAGAATTACAAATTTTGCTTGTAATTTGTGAGGTGCTATATCACTGAGAGATTGAGATGTTAAATGAAATGAACCACCTGGGAAGTGATTTTGTAGCAACCTCCTCATAGCATACTTGACATCACTGTTCCTCAGGCTGTAGACTAAAGGATTAAAGGCTGGGGGTAACACAGTATAGAGCACAGAAAGAAACCTGTCTGTGATTGATGGTACATTTGAGGGTGGCTTCAGATAGACAAAACAAGCAGTAACAATGAAAACAGTGAAAACAGTGAGGTGGGGGATGCATGTTGCAAATGTTTTTGATTGACCTTTAGTAGTAGGAATCTTAAGCACCATAGAGAAAATATAAAAGTAAGAGATAACCACACAGATAAAGCAAGACATACACAGACACATGCCTATTCCAATACTTGTGTAAATTACACCAAGTGTTTCAGAGCAAGAAATCCTTAGTAATGAGGGGATATCACAGAAAAACTGTGGGATCACATTGGAGCCACAAAAAGACATGGAAAAAGTGCCAGCTGTGTATACAGTTCCAAAGAGTACCCCAGTGACCCAGGAAACAGCCACCATCAGCACACAAGTTCCACTACTCATAATGACCTCATAATGCAGGGGGCAGCAGATGGCAACATAGCGGTCATAGGACATGGCAGTGAGAATAAATATCTCACCTGCTGAAAAAGAAGTCATGAAAAGTATCTGAAAGGCACAACCCAGAACCGAAATGGAATTGTTGTGAGTTAGGCTATTGACAAAAAAATTTGGGATTGGGACGGACACAAGGAAGACATCAAACAGGGACAAGTTCTTCAGGAAGAAGTACATGGGTGTTTGAAGTTTCAGATCCAGGGTGATAAGAGTGATAATGAGAAAGTTACTCATCAGGATTTCTAGGTACATTACCAGGAAGAACACTCCAGAGACAGTTTGTAACTCTTGGATGTCTGAAAATCCCGTAAGAATGAATCCTGTTATTCTACTGAAGTTGGGCATTCTAGATTCTTCAAATGACCTGCCTGGTAGGAGAAGTGCACACACATTGACAGAGACCCAAACACTTACACTAATGTACAGGAATGCTCAGTGGAAAAGGAGCCAAGAGAGTACCTAGGTAGCTCTTCATCGTTTTTGCACCCACCTTATATTACCATAAGGTAGTACTTTCATTTGATGCTATGTTGAACTAATTTATCTTGTATGGCAAATTATTGTACCATGTTGTACAACAAATTTGAAAAACAACAACAGAGATATGTGGTGCTTTCCTTAATAGAATGGACTCTTCACTTGATACTGTACTTGTCAAGTAGATAACAAACAGCAGAATAAAACCTTAGTGTCTCATCTTTCATTGTTTTATTTCCTTTGCTTAACCTCTCATAGCCACACTTATCATGCAAAGGGATTTCACCTAAAGTTAATAAAAATTATTCTCCAAAGCTAAAGACAAGAGTACCTATAATATTTTCAAAAGTTTGCTGTCTTCCACAATTTATCGTGCGTTCTGGATCCTTTGAAAGACATCTGATACCTATACTCATTGGCTCCAATCGTTCTTGTACAGAGGTTTTTCAAGCAAATCCTTTAATGGTGAGACTGTACAGAAATGATCATCTCCTAGGTCCTTTCCAGATCACATATCTGATAGAAAAATACCTTGCATTGCAAATGAACATTCACCTTTGAAGCAGAAGCATTCTCTCTGAATCAAATGACGATTGATCCTAAATGAACCTAAGCAAGTTTTTTCTTACTGATAAGATTCTATATATTCAGAATTGAGGCAACAATTAACCAGGTCACAGGGTGCAAAGAAGCTTGAGCATCCATAGCTCTTATTGTTTTTTCCAAATAGTCTTGGAGTTGTTCTCACTACTTTAAATTATATAGTTAACATATATGCTTATATTTATCAAACTCCATTCCTGATCTTTACAATTGATTTTGTTTTCTTGCAGTGATTAACCTCTCTTAATTTGCTTTAGCTCTTCAAAATGAGGCTTCCAGTGGCAAAATATTTTCACAACAAATAATACAAATTCTTCTGTCTGGGAGAACAATATTATCCATCTCATTCCATTTATGTATAAAATAGTCATGTGTTGTATTCGTAGTGTTCCAGTTATGGTTATATTAAACAGCTTTTAATATATACAAATAGATATTTCTATCATAATGTGTGTACCTAAGTTAACATAAACATATATTTGTTGTTTGATATTATATCATCTTAAATTTATATTGTCACAAACTACTATACTGAGTTTGTTGAGGAAAGAAATGAGGGTTGGGACCTCCTGAGGAATGGGAATAGTGGCCTTCCCCAGTAAAGAGAATATATACATGATATATATATATGTATATATATATATGTGTGTGTGTGTGTGTGTGTGTGTGTGTGCATGTGTGAGTGCAAATATACACACAAGCATATGTGCATGCAGTACCTATCAGCAAAATAACAACTGCAATAATGTGACCATGGATTTAAAAAAGGAGAGAGTGATGTGGGAGAGTTTGGGGTAAGTGAAGGGAAAGGAGAAATGTTGTAATTATATTATATTCTCAAAAATTAAAAAAAGAAAAAAGCAGGGTAATTGGCCAAAGACTTTGATCAACAGATAAAAACCATTAGTCCTCTTGGAAACAGTGTAAGTCTGGTTCTCACAATCTACATGGATGGTATAAAATTATGTGTAGCTCCATAACTCTGTTTACAAGACTGAGCATCTGTTTCTCATCTCTGAATCATGAAGGCACAATGTCAATAAACATAAATGCAGAAAAAATAAATATGAAATAAAATTATAGCTGCATATTAAAGAAATAAAATAGATGAATTAAGAAATTGTATTGTTAAGTTACACATTGTACTAGAGACACGTCAGGATTTTCTGGTCTTTTGTTTTTAAAAGAAACTTGAGAGACCACTACATCAAAATATTTCCTCAATATTTCTCTGGAATCACTTTTTAGTAATGTACAAAATATTGTGTTCTCCTATGTATATTCAAGTTATATTGGTTGGCACACTGCTGTTTACTAGACTTAGGGAACTGACTTATTCTTCCTTGCAATGGGATACAACATTACATGTATATTAACAGAATATTTTAGTATTTTTATCAACTGAATATTGCAGTCTGTACTTTAAAACAATTCAGATTCCCCAAAGTTTGAGGAAAAGGATTGGTCCTTAGAGAGATGTAGGAAGATTTTCCTGCAGGTCCAATTGAGGAGGAAACTTTTTTCATACACTTTAACATTATGATTTGATGACTCACCTAAAGTTTACAAACTTTGTAATCATAACATGCTCTTAAAATTTAGCCTTCTGATTAAGAGTCAAAAGTCTGTGCTAAGCTGTAATGACTTCTTAAAATGTAATAAAACAAATACAAAGATTAAAAACCATTTACCGTCTTATAAATTTTGGCTAGCTTTCCATTGAAACCGCATGTAATACAAAGGTCTCTAGCAGATCTTTTAAAGCAATTGGCAACCATCTCAAGATTACCCAAAGGAGATCCTTCCAAATAGACTTCCTTATTATTTACTTTCTCTTCAGACAATTAGTGTTATAATAATTGGAGCTTTATCTAGGAGGAACTGATCAGTCCCCTGAAAAATACACCCGGATAGATCATGAATAACACGGCTCACAGTAAATGAGAATTATATGAAACTAAATACTTTACTGACTATAAATTTATAGACAATATTATTATAGTAGTTAGTAGAATATTAGAATATAAGCAGAAAACTTGCCTAGGGACTCTTGTCCTATTTTCAAGGTATTAGTTATTTTCCTGTAAAAAGATACCTGAAAAGTGAAACACAACTTAAGGAAACCACTGCTTATCTGGGTTCGTGTTTTTTTGAGTTATACAAGGACATGGCGGCAGTGATTCCATGACTCCAGCAGTTTGGGGTGGCTGGTCACATTGTACCTGTTATGAAGCCCAGAAGACACGTGTTAAGACTGTGTATTATTTAGAGGTCTTTTAGCTATGAATCTGCCCTATTGTGTATCTAAAGTCCTTTTTTTTTTTTGACAGATGCGTTTTTAAAATGGTATTTAGTGTGGTCATCACATCCCGGGATGCTAGTTTCTCCTCTCTTGGCCTTTTAGAATGGTGGATGTCAGTAGCTGTCAGTTCTGGGACAACTGGGAGGGAGCTGTCCTCACTAGCTCATCTCTGGGTAGCACTGTGTTGCACACATATCCTTTTTATCTGTGGAAAAATCTAAATCTGCCATGCAGCACACTGTGCGATCTAAAAATATCTGTGTATAGTGTTGGGAATCCACCATGCTCTCCTGCCTGTGCAAGCCTACCAGACCCAATCCAGCTGCTTGACCAAGACAGGGTTCTTAGTAGCAGACATGTTCTCAGCTACTTTCCTCCTTACCCCTAGCAGGCATACAAGCACTCATACCCAACATGTGTGGCTTGCCACATGGGTTAGCCCTACTCATTTGGGCACTATTCAGTTGGCAGAGGTTATTTGTTTGCTTCCCAGTCACCCGGACCTGAAGCAATCACACAGAAACTGTATTATTACAGCACTGGTTGGCCTATTAGCCCACACTTCTTTTTGGCTAGCTTTTATATTTTATATTAGCCCATTTTTATTAATCTGTGTATTGCCATGTGGTGGGGTTGTGATGTACTGGTAAGGTTCCCTCAAGCATTCGGTGTCTAGCTCTTGTGGTGACTACATGGCTTCTCATTGACTCCGCCTACTCTCTCCTTCTCTATCAGCTTGGAAGTCCCATCTTGCCCTATTCTGTGCTGTAATTAGGCACAAAGCAGCTTCTTTATTAAATAATAACATTCACAGCATGTGGAGGGGAATCCCACATCAATTGACCTGTATTTCTTTATACCTATATAACTTTAAGAATAAGGCTTCACATTAAAATTATTAAACAATCTTTAAACAAATGTTCAGCAAATGAGGTCAATGACCTCAAAATGTAAACAATATATAAAGTTTCTTAACCAGAGGGAGAAATGTGTCATGCAATATGATAAATATATCCTAAAATTGCATCAATATACAAAAGAAAACCCTGATCCTACTTCATTTTCACACCCAACCCTATAGCACATATAACCAACCCCTAACAGATGACAGTTGTTCCTAACCCTGTGGACAAACTTGGTTTAAGAGGGGATATCGCTTTCTTGAATTCTACCTGTCATGGAGGTGATGTTATTTCTGTGGGATTCTGCAAAAACTAAAATGATGATTAAGCTTCAAGATTACTGTCTGTTAAAATTGCAGATAGTCTCTGAGTAGTCGGTATGGTTATGAAGTTCTCATTTGCAGATCTAGTCAGACTATTATAAGAATGTGCACCATCTGCACTTATCATGTTGAAATCTTCTTGAGCAGTTTGTAGTCGAAACCTGAGCCTAGAATGGCGCTACCAGCATAATGGCATCATATAAAGCAGGTAGAATTATTGTTGTGGGGACCTATCTTCTTACTGGACACTTCAAAGATTACTATACAAAAATGTTTTATTCATTGTGGATACTTAAACATTATTCATATAAAAATAGAAAGTTTGGCTTTCTAGAGACATGTATTTAAACAAAAGTACCATAGAGACAAAAGTAAGTAAGGAAAGAAGGAAATATTTTGAAAACAGAGTTTTGATAACCTTCGTTAATAGATTTTATCTTTCTTTGGTCCCATTCCATGTGGCTTCTGATATGGAAGAGAAGCTCTGAATTTTTCTTTTAAAAACGTTTCAATTTAGAGGAGAGCCGCTGTCCAACTGCAAAGACAGCTTTAATTTTTTAGTAAGTTATGACCACCATTATATGTATGCTTAGGTAGTGAGAATTTTACCCTGCAGAGGATACTGGTATCAAAAGTCAGGTTTCTCTTAGCTTGAATATTTTTTTTTCTAGATAGATATATTTTCTTCTTTAGACATTAGATGTCCAGGGTCTCTTGACTTTTTGCAGAAGAATGTTTTCCTGGAAAAGCAGGAATACAACCCTGACCCAACCTTTATGATGTTTTCTTCTAACCAGTAGGATTCTCATCTTTGTGGATCAGCTGCCGTTTCTCCTTATCAAGAGGCATTTTTTTCATACTGAATGTTGATTCATTTTTATGATATCCACAGCTTTTCTTCTCCCGTGGAAGCAAGAGCAAATCCCATTCCTCAAGTAGCACAACTCCTGGTTTCCATTCTGAGGTCAAGGTATCCTTGAATTACACCAGCTGAT